TTTATAGATGATTTTCAATGCAATAAGAAAGGGATCATTACAATTGCATGTCTGAAATTATTGTTATTTATACTGCATCAGTTAGTTCATCATTATTTTGTGGAAGGATGAAGCTAATAATTCACGATTAGATATAATTTGTAATATTGATAAGAGTGATATTGAAGTAAATTAATATTCTGTCAATAAGTATTAGAGTACGTTGAACTATTTTGCAAGCAAATTTACTTTTCTATACTCATTTATACATTGATTAAACAAAAAACTAATTTTTGATAGAAAGCTCTAATATTATTCCATTAAGAAAGAAACGTTAAATATAAGCCATTAAAAAATCTTAAAAGTAAGACATTGCCTAGAAGTAATCAAAGATCAATTTTTTGAAGAATGATCAATGTCATTTATTTTATGGTCGATTCATTCAAATTAAAACACATCCTCTATAACCACTTACGAACTAGATATAGTTCAATGAATAAATGAGTGTAAATTTTAACATCAATTGATAATTAGTTTGAATTCTTTGATTTTACGAAGTCATCGAGATTAGTTATTTATTTGCTATTTTAATATTAAGGTTTGTTCTAATATATTGAAAGTTTGTTTTTTATTTATTATGTTTAAGTTTTGACTTCTTTGAATATATTTATATATTTTTATATTTTTATATTTATTTGGGTCTTTACTTTATATAATAATAGAAATTCGAAGATACCTGATGAGTCCCTTGAGAAAGGACGAAACGCGTCGTGTCGATCTCGATTTTTCTTCAAAACTTATAATTATAAATTGTTCTATTTAGTTTTGAATTTAAATTTTGTAAAAAATTTTTGATTTTGAACTTGAATAGATTAAGCCAACTGAAGAGTCCTTTAGCAGGGACGAAACGCGTCTTGGTAGCTATTACACACCCTCGCCTCTTCATTTTTTTCTCATTTTCCTTCATTAGTTAGTCCTACATATCACGACATATTCATGCCGATACATCTGTCTGAATTAAGATACCACTTGCAGATACATGAAGTTCTGCTTTTTGGCTTAGGTGTCTTTATTTGTTACAAAACACGTCTCACACTAAAAAATGTATATGCTTCTGATTGAAAATATCGTGATTATATTGATAAATATTATTGCTTTTCATTGAGGCATATGCCGATTAAGATATTGAACAGTAGCTATCGGATTTGTCTGATCGCAATATTGGATCATCATGAATTTTATACACGTTCTCCCTCGCAATTAAAAAGTTTAAGAGTCGAGCTCTCATTTTAATAATATTTTCCAGTAGATCAGCCGCATAAGCTTCATCGGGGCGTTCATATAGCTGGCGTCTCAAGCAACCCATATAGAAGATACCTAATTTGAAAAATTCTCGAAGGTTTTGTTTAACCGCGATATCATGCTGGAAGAAATTCTCTACTAAAATGTTTCGTCTCTCATCGGAAGTTTCTTCACAGTGGGTCAAGATCAACATCATGTAATCTGCGACAGTTGGATACGCTTTTTTGACATACACCATTGAGTCAATATCTTCGCTGTTGATACCATTCTCCAGATTGAAAACAAAGGCAAAGGCGTGTATGTTTGTCATGTCTGTTCTCATACATTCTAGGACAAGCTTGGTGACAGCTTCGTTGTCCAAAAGCTGACCTTTTGATGTACGTTGATCATACAGACCAGGTGTGTCGATTATGTTGAAATTATAGAGATAACCATTTTTCGATATTGGACATGCCAATTGATGAAATTCGATGTTCTTTGTTTCAGAAAAGAGTGCCAAGTCTTTATCTCCCATATAGCCAGGATATTCCAGTGTTTTCGCTACTGTTGACTTGCCTGTACGAGCTCGTCCCATGAGAATAATGTTGCGGGTACTCGCTTGTTTGAATATAAACTCATCATCCTGGACAACTGTGTTGTATATAGTTTCTTGCAATTCTTTAATATCGATTGGTTTTGACTGACGGGATTCTATGTAATTAGAAATTCCGATTTGGCTAGTTCCAATAATCACAAGATCAGAAAAACTTACTCAAAACTTTTTTGCTTCTTGATTCGGTGCTCATAATCAGTTGCCAACGCAGTTGATTCAAGAGTTGACAAATGAGTGATGTGTCGTATTATAATTAGTATGTATCTATAATTTCAATTTCTATCGTTTTAGTAATGCATATAGTTTTCTGAAATCAAAATTAGACAGTTTATTAATATGCAAAATTAAAAAACAAGCTCTGTTCTTCCATTCTTCACGGGATTTTATGATATCATGTTACGGTAATGTCTCATTCGTATAATTATTTTTCCAGCAGGGGCATCGGCTGCAAAACCAGAATAGTTTTGATCCTATAAAATAAGTCACAAACGGACAGCAGATAAAAGCACAAATCGTTAAGAAAAGCAGCTTTTTGAGAAACTTGGTCGTCTTACGAGATCGTAAATGCCTCGTTCCAGTAGCCATGATTTCTTCTAAATCTGAATAGATATACTCGATAAATATGTTTCTCATTTTCAGCACGTTAGCATACTGATGCAATATTCCGTGTCGGTCGCATCTTTCTGCTGATTGAGGTCGTATACAGCCCATAAAAAAAACGCCACACAAAAATAATTCTCTTAAATTTTCTTTTACCACGTCTTTATGTTTGAAAAAGTTGTTAATTAGCTGTGTTCGTGCAATATCATCTGTTTCTTCACAATGAGTTAATATAAGCATTAATTGTTTACTAATACGTGGGTATTTATCTCTCATTAGTAGCATTGTTTTGATGTCGTCTTGATTGATACCCTGGTCGAGATTGAAAACAAAAGCAAAAAGTGTCACAGATGCATCGGTTTTTTTCATTACACCATTGAGCATCGTTTCGATTGTGCCGTTACTTAGATCAACAGTATTTTTATGTTGGTTCTGATTAAAAAATCCTGGCATATCGATGATTTTTAATCCGTTCACTTGTTCTTCATGTGGTGCGTCTGTACCATAGAAGAGTGTCGGAAATGGCGGTACATACATACTATTCTTCAAGAGTGCTGAAATAGTTGATTTTCCAGTACGCGTTCGACCGATAAGAATCAGTGTTCGAGCCGGTGATAATGGCACGTCTACATAGTGTCGACCAAGGCGATAACTTTCTAATTGTTCCCGAATTTCATCAGTTATTTCCATATATTTGTCATGCAAAAAGATACAAACTATGTCATGAGAACAAAAAAAAACAATGAAGCATATCGAAAATTAAACGCTAGCTTTGGAGAACTAACGAAGTCTATCTACTATTTCCTACTACTGGCGAAAGGTGATTGTTGAGTATTAACAATTGGGTATACTGGATTTTTTAAAATCATCGTAATGAATATTCATTGATGCACAAACTGAAACTCTCTGATCTCGAATGTTTCACGATATTTTCATTTCTGTATTAATTTCTAAAGGTGAAACTTCGCTTCTACTTAACTAATGATTAGATACACGAAAGTTAGAGTGAGGGTGAGTTGCGTGGCAATGGAATGTTTCTGAGATTTTATACGACCCGCTTCATGCTTTCTCAGAGGACTCATCAGATGTATTTACAAGCACTTCATATGTAGTAAAGTAAAGTATTCGTTAATTGAAGTAGGCCACAACACAATCGTCCATATAAATAACCAAATAATGTTTTGCGTGCTTTATATCAATCTTTTACTGTTGCTATTTGGATTCTCATTATGATTCTACTTCATAGAGTGTGTAGGAGAAATATCTTAGATGCTGCTCATCAGAATTTTACTGTTGTTGTATGAATTCTGAATAGAATCATGTTCACTGGATATCAGGGATGTGTTACTGTTTCTGCATTCTAATAAGAATCCTGTTTACTGTGATCCGAAAGTTCGAGAAATTGTGTTAATCTTGAATTCTTAAAACAATTTTATCATATTATTATCGTTTTTAGAGAGTAGAGCTGATTACGTAATACATTAATTTAAATTTTGGAGCAAGTCTATAAAATTCTGAATTCTGCTGTGTAGACATTTGAAAAAATCACCACTAAAAGGATGAATCAATTAGCAATAGCTCACCTTGCTTATTGCTCAGTTGATTGCTCTTCGGCTTTTTCAAGTATCTTTTGATAATCGTAGACAACGCTTAAGTGAATAAAAGAATGTAAAATATAACCGATTCACTACTTATATACCAAGGCGGCTGACACATTTGTTTATGTTGACTGTGAAACAAGATACGTAATTTTATTCGTTAGAATTGATAATTATTGTACTTTTTCCTAGTGACAATCCTACTGTTTACTTTAGAAAAGCTTCTTTTACTTTTTAAATTGATAACAGAAGAATATATCGCAATATATACCACAGGAAGAATTGAAACTCAGGAAAAGTTAAAATCATTCTATTTGAAAATTCAGATTTTAATTTTTCCTACAGGAAAAAGTAAAATAGTTTTACATTTAGTAGAATCCATAGATAACATGGCGAATCAAAAAGTGTTGACTTAGATAAGAACGCATACACCCTCTAGTAAATATTGTTGTGTCGTATTCGTATGGCCGTTGAATACTATTACAAAGTACTTGGCAATCATATCCAATCGTTAAATCCCAAATTTCAAGAGAAGTTTTGTATAAAACAATCATTATATAATGATATTATCCTTGTTCTACGAGATGGTTGGGGGGATCCTCAGTTCAAATTTTGGGCACATAAAAACTTCAAATTGATCAAAATTGGTGTTGGGTGTTTTGTGTATGATATAAAATCTAATCGTCCTATTGTTACATATGAGAATCTGTATATGAAAATTAAAGAATGTCATGAGGAAGTTCATCATCAGGGACGAGACAAAACGTGGCTAGAAGTATGCTCTACGCAAATGCTTATAATCAGACAACACAATATATTTTGTAGGTGAAGGCTCGTTATTCATGGATTCCAATTTATTCCATCAAACTTTTTATTTCACAATGTAGTGTATGCCGCCATAGAACATATGCACCAAAATCAATAGCTGGTAGGTTCAGATGATTGTGAAAATAATAACAAATCAAATATTTTAATTTTTTAGTAAAGCCATATGTATCTGAAGGATATTTGACTCGTCTTCAATTGGAACTGATAGATATGACAAGTGTCCCAGATGAAGAATATAAATGGATTCTCCATGTAACGGATCATTTTACCAAATTTACTTGGGCTTATCCACTCAAATCTAGCAAGATTGAATCTATTACTGCACAACTTCTACAACAGTTTTCTTCTTTCGGTATACCACATACTTTGCAATCTAGCATGGGGGAATGGTTTGTAGCCAATATTATACGAGTACTTGCACTTTCTTCTTCGTGGGTTTTATTCAATAACATTCTTTTGACTGCATAGGATCTAAAAACAACTTGGGCAAGCCTCACTGTTATCAGCAATCAGTCTGTCAATACCGAAATACAATGTTTTGTTCAGCATAACAGTCAAGTAATTAAGTCAGCTCTTTATAAATGGATGAAATCGAATAGTTGTAAAACGTGGTCTAAAGGTAAGCAACCAAGCAGTGAAAACAACCTGCTTCTGTAAGATTATAGTGTGTAGGCTTAGCACAAGTTGTGTATTCAATCAATACCAGTTCTTTCCAGTCGATAAAGAAAACTCCCTACGAAATAGTATTTGGTTCAAAAGCAATGTATGGCATCGCCACGAAGCAAGTCTTATCCAAGCAACGTGTTATATATAATGAGAGTTTTCGAAAGGACTATATTCGTATATTGAATGAATGTGAGAATCAAACGGACTCTATTGAAGATACAACATCTATGCGTATGGATGCTTCATCAGTTTCTCTGAATTTAGTATACGATGCATCATCAAGTATAATTTGGTCAAGTTCAACACCACCAAAATTTCATGTGCCCACCTGTACGAGAAAGAGACCAAGTAGCGAATTATTTCCCAATGAACAAATCGAGCTAATCAATCCTGTTAAAACTGTAAAGTCTAAGAAAATTTCTCGTGTCGATATTTCGTTAGTCGAAAACTCTAATAGCATAGACGATTATTCAGTTCATAATAAGCAAAAGCTACAATTTGAAGCGGAGACCATGAAGACGCCTAATCCCTTCAAGCGAACAGAAGTATCTCAATATACATTAAATCACCATCAATATAAGGTCGGTGACTTAGTGGGTTTAAAGATTCCCGATACAAACGAATTTAACTCGATACCTGAAATATTGCCATGTAAAATAATATCAGTTCATACAAGTTCGGATAATATAGATACATTCCAATTATGCACGTCAAAATGTATACTTTCATCAAGATTTTCAACCTCTGACTTATTAAGTTTGCCCCATAATAACTTTTGTGGCGTGTCCGACATTGATTCAAAACTTTTGCCAATAATGGCATTAGAACAAGTATGGAATGCACATATAAGTAGGAAATGAACCACTTTTACGTAAGAATACAGCTTTAGAAACTATTGCATAACAAAAACCCAATATTGTCCAACGATAAAAATGCAATGCCACCAACGAACATCATTCGCCAAGAACAAACTCGTATCGATATTGATGACTTAATGTTAATATTTTTCACATTTATTTCTATTATTATTGCAGCTACATTTCCATCAAGACTTCTTTTTCTCATTTCACATATCATAATGTTCCATGTCTAATTAAATAAAATAAATTGCTTCATGCTTTAGATAAACCTGTCTTATCTGCTCTCTTTCTGAAAATATGATAATACTTATTTCAAGTAATCATTGTTTTCGTGCTTTGCGCTTCACTTTTTATAAATATATTCCGACTTATACACACAACAAAAGAATACATAAGACACCCAACAATTGCCTTGAGAAAGGTGAAAACTATAGTCGTAGTTTTTCTTAAGTATCTTATACTTACGGTATATATATGTTTCAGAACTCCCTGCTTGTTTCTTATATTAAATGTGAGAGGCACTGTTACTTTTCAAGTTAATATATTATGCAGTGCTAAAACTACCTGATGATGACCCTTGAGAAAGGTCGAAATCTAGATTGTGGTTAAATTTCTTTAAAAATAATACACACCCATATTATATTTAAGAAATCTCTGCTTTGCTTTTCGATATTAAAAGTAAGAGGAATTATTTCTTTTGAATTTTTCCTTTTAATTTAATATTTATATGCAGTGCTTCAACTACCTGATGATGACCCTTAAGAAAGGTCGAAATCTAGATTGTAGTTAAAAATTTCTTTAAAAATAATACACACTCGTCTACACCCTCCTCATTCAAAACGATGTTGAGTTGTTTGCAGTTGGTTAAGACGGACAGAACTCGACGAAATGCACATAACATCGATAATTAATCATTAATAAACGCTTGTTCTTGTTCTTGTCCAGCCTTGACAGCTAAATTTCCCATCATACTTGATCGACCATTGATTTAGTCTTCAAACTAAACTGAATGATTCCAAAATTTGGCCAAATGGCACAAGTAATGGATAAAACCAAATCTTTTCTGCATGAACTCTACAGCAAGTGTGAGTGTGGATGTGAGTGTGGCTGTGGCTGTGGTAATGGGTGGGCGGCGGTTGTGGATTTTTGTTCTTCGTCAAATCCACAGCCATACTCCCACCAATACCCACCCTCTCTTGTTACAAATAGACTAAGTTGAATTAGAGTTCGGGGAAGCCGATAATTGTAGAGGAACAAAAAGTGCTGTAAATGATCAGGTTATCTAGAAAAGTTTGCAATCATGCCAAGTCTTCAAATAGAGTGGTGTCCTAAGCTCGCCCGTCGATATCACAACGTACAATATTAACTTATAGGCGACAATCAGTAAGGCAACAGAGAAAACAATTAATTTGAAGTATTTCATTTAATATGAATCTTTCGAAAGATACAGTATTGGTATCACATGCTACTGATTCAATAGTAGCAGAACGCGATCATTGATCGTTCTAGTTTAATTTTGATTACATTCAGTATTTCAAGTAATCTTGGATTATTTTGTATGCGAAAGACCATTTTTGATTAAATTTGAATTTGACTAGATGATTTTATTGTTCTGATATCATAAAGTCGAAGGTATCATACTGAAATGGATGTATTTACGAATGATAAGAATTTAAAAAAACGTTTGCTTATCTTTGAATTATGAAGTTTAAAAGTTGTTCGCTTTTGATAAACACATTACAGTATCACAAAATGCTCCCTGTTATATTGTGTATTGTTTTAGTGTGTGGCTATGTATACCTAAAGCAAACTTATTTTACATTACGTCCAGAACTACCAGGTCTTTCACCGCATTTTCTATTTGGAAATCTCATTCAAACAGGAATCCTCAGCGGTCGTGTATCTCTACCAGAAGCTCTCGCAGCATTCAAAAAGCGTTACGGGGATATATATCAGTTTTGGTTGGGTCCATCATATAATATTATTGTCAATGACATTACTGATGTTCAACACATCTTTTGCCATCGAAATATCTATGATCAAGGCGACTTTTTTATCGAGAAAGCGAGTGTTCTCTTTCCGGATGGTCTCATTTGTACTAAAGGTTATTTTTTGCCTTGCTGCTGTTTCAGTTCTTTTTGTTCAGAGAAAAATCCCGTTATGTTCATTCTAGGTGTACAAGTCAAGCGTCATGCAGCTGTCACATATCCGTTGTTCCGCCGAGGTAAATTTACTCCTAATTTAGATTTAATTATAGAATGTGTTGATCAGCTCTTGGCAAAATGGCGTGAAAGACCCGAAGGGCAAGTACATACGGACATTTTTCAGCAATTTCACAAACTTATGCTAGCAATATTTGGTTTTATTGCATTTGATTATGATTTACAAACTTTGGATGAAGATCATAAAACAGGTTCAAACGAACTTGCCGAAGCATTAGAAGTCATTAACAATGCCTTTCAATTAGTGACTTACGCTCCTCGTTGGTTATCAATTCTCTATCTGAAATTGAGTAGTCGTCATCAACGTGCTAAAAAGCTTGTCCAGCAATATCTTTAACGGATTATTGAACAAGAAATCAAGGAGAGTCCCGAATTGAGAGAACAGCGAAAACGAACTAGTCTCATTGCATCATTAGTCGGATCAATATCATTCGATGAAAAAAATGAAGCAACGAAACGTGAAGAAGAAAAAATAGGTTCGCTGAAAGCTCAAAGACTATAAACTATTATTATATTTGTCTCATTGTAAAGGTCTATCGCGACAAGAAGTTCTTAATGAAATGTTGCTCTTTCTCAATGCTGGCTCAGATACAACTGCTACAGTTATTACGTGGTTCATTCATTTAGTCAGTAAACACCCTCGTGTACAAGAAAAAATCAAAGCCGAATTGATCGCTAATGATGCAGCCAGTACACTTTCATTAAATCATCTGTATTCATTAGTTTATTTGGATTGTGCTATCAATGAAGTTCTACGCTTCTGTCCAC